GCTGGATAAAGCACAAAATGAAATCAAGATTGCCGGGAGAAATATCAATAACCTGAGATACACAGATGATACCACCTTTATGGCAGAAAGTGAAGAAGAACTAAAGAGCTCTTAATGAAAGTGAAGAGGAAAGTGAAAAAGCTGGCTTAAAACTCAACACTCAGAAAACTAAGATCATGATAGTTGGTCCCATCACTTCATGGCAAGTAGATGGAGAAACAATGGAAACAGTGAGAAACTTTATTTTGGGGGGCTCCAAAATCACTGCAGATGGTGACTGCAGCCATGAAATTAAAAGACACTTTCTCCTTGGAAGAAAACTATGACAAACCTAGATGGCATATTAAAAAGCAGAGGCATTACTTTGCTGATAAATGTCCATCTAGTCAAAGCTATGGTTTTTCCGGTAGTCATGTATGGATGTGAGAGTTGAACTATAAAGAAAGTTGAGCACCAAAGAAATGATGCTTTTGAACTGTGGTGTTGGAGAAGACTCTTGGGAGTCCCTTGGACTGCAAGGAGATCAAACCAGTCAATACTAAGGGAAATCAGCCCTGAATATTCATTGGAAGGACTGATGCTGAAACTGAAGCTCCAATACTTTGGCCACCTGATGCAAAGAACTGACTCATTTGAAAAGACCCTGATGCTGGGAAAGATTGAAGGCAGGAGGAGAAGGGGACGACGGAGGATGAGACGGTTGGATGGCATCACCGACTCAACAGATGTGAGTTTGAGCAAGCTTTGGCAGTCGGCGATGGACAGGGAAGTCTGGTGTGCTGCAATCCATGGGGTCACAAAGAGTCAGACACAACTGAGTGACTGAACTGAACTGAACCATTTTCATATGTGGACATTTTCTAGGTAAGAGCTCTGATGTAAGAATTCAAAATGTGACTATATCAACCAAGGGGCTTCCCAGGTGGTGCTAGGGGTAAATAACCTGCCTGCCAATGCAGGCGATATAAGAGACATGGGTTTGATTTCTGGGTCAGGAAGATCCCCTGGAGGAGGACACGGCAATCCACTCCAGTATTCTTGCCTGGAGAATCCCATGGACAAAGGAGTCTGATGGGCTACAGTCCATGGGGTTGGAAAGAGTTGGACATGACTGAAGTGATATGTCAGAGCATAGCACAATGCATATCAACCAAATGAAGAATTTGGCTGAGAGTGTGAATGTAGGGAAGAGACCTCTTTTCAGGGCTCAGGTTTTCACTCCTGGCAACAACAACTAAAGGGACAGAACTATGTATTTTTACGCGAAGAGGCAGGAAACATCTGGATAAATGAATTAACACAAAGCTTGATCCAGAAATGAAAAGCAGAAGCTGTGGGACACAGGGGCCTGTGATTACAATTGCCAGAAGCAAAGGGGTTCCTTCCTTTCCAGCCTGATTAAGAACCCAAATAAGTCAGCACTGGGTTCTATATTCAGCATCTACCACCACCCAGGCATGGTGCTGGGTGCCTTATGATTTAACGTAGTCACATTTGAAATTCTTACATTAGAGGTCTTACTTACTAGATTTGTAAGTGAAAATGGCAGCATTTACTAGATTTTTTAGGCCATTGTTTTTCATATGGAGGAGACCATCTGACATTAATTAATCCTCATTTACTCCTCACAATCACCCTTTAACATAGGTGTTGTGAGAAGCCCAAGGCAATTCTGCTGAGTCACCAAGATTATTTACTCACCCTTATTTCTGCAGCCAACTCTATGGCAAGGAAAGTGGGAGCTAAAATAGAAAATAAAATACCTGGCCCTAGCCCACAGTAAATTTGTAATAAAAATAATTCCTTTGTTGAATAACATAAATTTGTTCCAGAAAATAAAAATATTTCATTCAACCATTACTATTCAACTTTGGAACTTGTTCCTGGCAAGTCAGAATTTAAAAGAACTCAAAATACATCTATATTTTATGCATTGGATTAAACAGGGTGAAATTTTTTTTTGTAAGGAGAAAGAAGTAAATGACATTTCAGTGTTCCACAAAACAAACTTTCTTAAAAACTTTTTTAAGCTTCTGTGATTAAATTAAACCCAAAACTGAGTGTACACAAAAGGGAAAAAATGTAAATATCAGAAGGGCATAGTTTTAGTTGTTTTAATTATGAACTCACTCACAAACTTCCATTTCTTTCCTTCACAAAACCAAATTAATATTGGATGTCAAGTAGAGAAACTAAGAAGTTAAGGTCTGAATTTCTCTCTCCCTACAGCACGTGACTGTAAGTATCTTGTAATAAAGTTCTATGAAGCTGATGCAAAGAATCTCAAAATCACTAGATCTGAGTTAATAGTAGTTGAGTTGTTAGTAAACTCTAAACAGAATCAGATGAAGAATATGTTGAGAGGTTGGCACCCTGGATAGGGAGCGAAGATATCAAAGAAATAGCCCTAGCTAATGACCACATGACTGGGGTGAGTTAACTCTTCTTTTCATGGACCTGTTTCTGAATCAGAAAGCTGAAAAATCCAATGTCTGCTCTTCCATAATTCAATAGGATTATATAAGACTGTCAGGATACATTACTTAATATACTGGATGTAAAGGAAGTTAAAGTCTTAGTGAGAAAGAAACCATAGAGTGTATGTTCTGAGGACACATGGGGAAGAAAAGTTCTTTGCACTGGTGTTAAAAAAATCTCTAAAATTCTATAAACTCATTCATCTTATTTGCAAACCAGTTTGGAGTGAAATCAGAGTACATTGCTATTTACTCACATTTTAATCATTCACAACTTCCTCGTTGTGTGTTACATACACTCAGAATAATAGCTGGGAGTTTCCTGCCTTGAGTACAGGTTTCAGGATATTCTTTTGATTCAGGAAAATGGATATGTAATACGGTTAGCTGACATGTATTCAAAGACAAAAAGAACAGAAAGATGTTCCGAACGATTAAACAAGTTGCTTTCTTGACTTTCCTTAGCCGAAGAAGGAAACAGTTATCAAGAAAACAATCCTCTCTGCCCCACGCTGCATGGTTCATGAATACCCTCTTAAATCATGCATCAGTAGTAAGTATAGAGTGTTTTGGAGTCCCAGGGGACAGTAACAGCATTGTTGCCCGGATCTCAGCAAACCCAGTGTAGCTGTTTCTGAGATGCTAGCCAGAGAAAATCCAGGAGGGAGGGAAATAAAAAATTACAGGAATTTTTTGGCCCTAATTAATTTGCTTGGTTTGATTTCTGACAAGGAAAGAAATAAAAGGGTCATTTCCTCTATCCAGACCTCAATAAATAGAATTTTAAATTCAGGTAAAAATGAAAAGGAAGAAAAGAGAAGGAAAGTATCTGAAATATAATTCTTTGAATGCTTGATCCCCATGTGAGAGGCAGAATAATAGCCTCCCAAAGATGCCTGTGTCCTTTTAGTCCCTGGAGACTGAGAATATGTTAAGTTATATGACAAATGAATTAAGATTGTTAATTGGCTGAATTTGAGATATGGAGGTTATCGTGGATTAACCGGTTAGGCCCAATGTAATCACAAGAGTCCTTGTAAAGTGAAAGAAGTATAGATGATCTTATTTGCAAAGCAGACAGAGACACAGAAATAGAGAATAAATGTATGGACAGCAAGGGGAAAGGGGGGCGTGGGAGGAATTGGGAGTTTGTGATGGACACATATACACTGCTGATACTATGTATAAAATAGACAACTAATGAGAACCTACTGTATAGCTCAGGGAACTCTACTCAATGCCCTGTGGTCACCTAAAAAGGAAGGAAACACCACAAAGGGGGGTATATGTATATGGGCTTCCTAGGTGGTTCAGTGGTAAAGAATTCTTCTGCCAAGCAGGACACACCAGTTCGATCCCTGGGTCAAGAAGATCCCATGGAAAAGGAAATGGAAACCCACTCCAGTATTCTTACCTGGGAAATCCCATTAACAGAGGAGCCTGGTGGGCTACAGTCCATGAGGTTGCGAAAGAGTCAGACTTGACTTAGCAACTAAATAACAACATGTATACATATAGCTAATTTCACTTTGCTATACAGCAGAAACTAACACACATTGTGAAACAATTATACTCCAGTAGGGAAGAGAAATAGAAGAGATAGTCTGAGTGATGTGAAGTGAGAAGAACAACCCACTGTTGCTGGTATTAAAGATGGAGAAAGATACCATGAGTGGAGGAATGTGGGCGGCCCTTTTAAACTGGAAAAGGAAGTGAAATATCCTCTCCAAAAACCTCCAGAAAGGAAGGCAGACACCTTGATTTTAGCCTGGTGAGATAAGATAATAAATTTGTGCTATTCTAGGCTGCCAAGCTTGTGGTAATTTGTTATGACAATGACAGCAAATACATCTGAGTCAAAATCTAGAGTACTTCACAGCAAAAGCCAGCTGTATATTAATTATGTCCCAGCCCCAGTGAGATCATACAGTCTTAGAGGATAGTTTGCCTGGAATGCTTGGGTCTGGCCTGCTTGGGATTAACTCTAATGCCAGAGTTGCGATGACCCAGTCCCCAGCACTCCCTCTTTTGGTATTTTTCTTTAAGCACATGGATTAAGGAATATACAATATATGCTCATTGGACCTCTTCTTGGATCTGTGATGTAAAATGGGGTTAGACATTCACTCAGGATCCATTTTCAAAGTAATTTTCACAGAGAAAATAAAGCTAAAGAAGGAAAATCTCTTGATATTTTAATGGTGCCATGAGTGAGAAAATAAATAACTCCTTTAGCACTTTCTCCTGCCCAATATGCTCTGATCCATGAGTTCCTGCTTTTTCCAGAATGTGGGTCAGTTTCAACATTCGGGACCCCAAGAACCACAACCCAAGATTCCTAAAAATGCAGAGTGCTGCTTAGAATCCCATGGCACACGTGTGCTGACCAATTTAGATCACTTTGCCCAGAGTCAAATTCCTTCCCCACAGATCAGTTCTCTAACTTTGCCACAGTACCTCCTACCTTTGTAGGACTGTGTCTGCCTTTGGTTAAAATGTCCCAACACTTGCTACAGAACATACCGGACATCCAGTGACTGCTGCCAGATCCATGGCCAACTCACAGGACTTGATCAAATCCTCCATCATGGCCAAAGCCTGTTGTAGGTCGGCTAAGAAGGCTGAATCCTTGGTCCTCTTTGGCGCATTCTGTGGAAACCAAATGCCTTATTGGAAATCAAAAGGTAAACCATCTACCAAGTGAAGAAAGAAAACAGGACAGAGATAAGGAGCCGTGGATCCAGCCAGCAGGAAGTGACTGAGAAGATAGGTATATCAACCTGTTTCCTTGCTCCCAAAGGTGGCTAAGGATATTTGCTGGTTTAAGTGTATCATAGACACACACACATACACAAGCAAAATCCCTGACTACATTTTCTGCATTTCTACTAATGAAGAATGAAGTTCATAAAATCATGGACACCATATTCTGGATATTTAAGAGATATCCTGAGCTTTTGTAAAGCATGAAAACTGCAGCCCTTTAAAAAGGCTGCTCTCCCTTTTACTCCCCTACCCCTCAGGGCCTATTGAAAAGTACAGGTTGAGTATCATATTCCCATATTTAATGTGACAGTCTTTTCCTATGGATAAAATCATACTTAAAACCATTTCAGAGGAGGATATCTGCAAACTATACAAGCAAAGAATAGGCTGCCATGTGGAGGTTTACTAATGATTTTAGATGTAAACACCACAATGGCGGCATTTGCCTCACTGAATCTCCCCATATTGTGTCACCATTAAAGATGCCAAAGAGGTAAGCCAATGTGATCTGTACCCCCCAAACAGCATGAAGACCCAGAATTAAGGGGGAAAAGCTAATTTAAGAGACCAACAAATATTCCAATGATTACTATTGTGACACTTAGGACATATTAGGGATGGTTGTTTCAGTTTGAAAGTCTTTCACTTAGGATTTCTGTATTTTATTCCCCTGCTACCTAGATAGTATATTTATCTGTTTTCTGGTAAATACAAACAGAAAGACTTTGGTTTTGTCCACTTTTAAAAAACACAACAGTTTCCACAACAAAGACTAGAGAGCTCTTTGCTGCTCCCCACATAAAGCCCGCTTCTTCTTGTACTCTCCTGTAAGACATAAGCAAAGGCTTGTGTGTTTTTTTAATCTCTGCTTAAACACTGAAGATTAGCATCTTTGAACCAGAGATATGAATGACAGGGCTGATGAACGGAGTGGAGCATGCTGCCTCCACTGAACAATATGCCATGGATTCTTACTTTCTTACTCATGGTAGATACGCTCCAGGTCCTGGTGAAAAACAACAGACTCTCACCCGAGTTTACCACGTCATTAACAAAGGATTAAAAGTCCCTACACCAGGCATCTCCCTCTTTACTAAACACTTGAAACTCAACTTACTTTCAGAGACTCAATGGCTCCTAGTCTCTCTCCTTCCCACTAACCCTCCTCCCACAAGCATGATGGGGGACAAGTTTTGTGTGATGTAGGACTCTTACAAACGTTATTAAACCTCTTTACATTCTTACCTACATTATTAAACCCCTGTAACCCAGGCTAGCTCCACTTGCTCCAAGCTATAAAAGTATTACCTATCCCTTGAGCTTCTTTTAGTCTTAAGCCATCCCCACAACACCTTTTGACCAGGGAGGGCATGGAAATGACCACTCCTTGAGACACATGCCTCATGTTTTTCTTTTTATATCAGAATTTTATACTAGGGAAAAAAAAACCAAACACAAAAAACCACTTGCATGCCACAAGTTTCTTCCCATACTGGTGTGACCATCACTTCTTCCAAGAGAAACTTGGTTGTCTTAGAATTCACACACACACATACACATTTGGAAGGGAATAAGGCATAATGTATACAGATTTACTAAGGAGTACAAAGAAGTAAATATAAATCATTCATAATCCTACCATGCAGGAAAACAACTGTAGGATTTTATTTTTTTTAATTTTATTTTTAATTGGAGGATAATTACTTTTCAATATTGTGATGGTTTCTGCCATACATCAACATGAATCAGCCATAGGTATACATATGTCCCCTCCCTGTTGAACCTCCCTCACACCCCATCCCACCCATCTTGGCAGGAATCCAAATTGATACATGGAGAACAGAACATCTCACTATGGAGAACAGTACGGAGATTCCTTAAAAAATTAGGAATAAAACTACCATATGACCCAACAATCCCACTACTGGCATATACCATTAAAAAAAACCATAATTGAAAAGGACACATGCACCCCAGTGTTTATTACAACGCTATTTACAATAGCCAGTACATGGAATTTTATTGTATTTACTTCCAGGCTTTTACGTGTGCATTTCACACTTTCACTTACTTTTGTATTCCTGTGAAACTTTTTTATGTGGAAGGAAGAAAGTATATTACCACTTTTGCTATTACAAATCCCCACTTTAAAATTGTCTTTAGTTTTTTTTTTTTTGTTTTTTCCTGACTATGAATTACGGGATGAATATTATTTTAGAAAATTTACACAATAAAAGTCATACACTAAGAATACAAAATCACCGTAAGTCCTTCCATGTAAAGACAAACACCATTAACTTCCCTGGTAGCTCAGACCATAAAGAATCTGCCTACATTGTGGGAGACCAGGGTTCGATCCCCAGTTCGGGAAGAGGCCCTGGGGGAGGGAATGCAACCCACTCCAGTATTCTTGCCTGGAGAATTCCATGGACAGAGGAGCCTGGAGGGTTATAGTCCATGGGGGTCACAAACAGACACGACTGAGTGACTAACATTCACTTCATTAGCAGCTAGTAAATAAAATAATATTTAATTTCCAGTACCTTAGCCGAACCTCCTTCTAGATCACTTGGGTCCATCTCCAAATCCTCAGGAGACTCAAAATCCAGCAGCCCCTGCATTAACCCAAAAGCCTTATTGAAAATCAAAAAGTCAAATGCCAACTTAATCTGTTGTGCAAACAATCTCCAGCCAATGCTAAACTGAGGATGTATATAAATTAGTCTGTTTGTCACAAGTATGAGGGAAAAAGTAAATAGAATATTCAGCACAAAGTTCTTTCCACAAACATAGAATCACATTGGACACACTATTTTGTAGCCTGCTTTTTTCCAGCAACTTATTATGAACATTCCCCCACAACAATATTTTTTTTTAAAACATGTTTTTAAATTGTGGCAGAGCATTGTGTACTATGGGCTTCTCAGGTGGTGCCTAGTGGTAAAGAACCCATCTGCCAATGCAAGAGATGCAAGAGACTCAGGTTTGACCCCTGGTTGGGAAGATCCCCTGAAGTAGGAAATGGCAACCTGTTCCAGTAATCCTGCCTGGCATTTTCATGGACAGAGGAGCCTGGTAGGCTACAGTTCTTGGAGTCACAAAGAGTCAGACATGATTGAGCGACTGAGCACAAGCAGAAAGGATTGCATGCTATAGCTAAATCATAATTGATTAATTCCCCTCTACTGTTAAATATTTATGTTAAATAATTTTTTACTACAATAATAACAATCTTTATACACTTTTCTTAAGGATAAATACCTAGAAGTTGAATTGTTAATGTTAAGAGTTGTGATACATGTTTCCAAGTTCTTTAGAGAAGGATTATGTCCCCATCAGCCATATATGAACATTTTTTTCACCATCCCCTAGCCTACTTGGAGTATTACTATTTAATCAAAAGGTTTTGCCAGCCAAATCAATAGACCAATCCCACCTCACTGCTGTTTTGAATTTGAATTTCTCAAATAACTAGTGAGGTAGAACTCTCAAAAAAAAAAATGTTTGTTATTAGCTTTTATTCTTTTGTAAGCTGCCTAGTTCCTTTATTCATTTTTCTATTATTCATTTTGCTTTTAATTTCAGCTTTATTGAGGCATAATTGACGTATGAAATTGTTAGGTATTTATAGTGTGTCTTTTTTTTTAAGAGATTTATACACAGTTTTAATGAAAATTTTGAGAGTAACAATGTCCATCACTTAACCATGAATAAGACAGGGACTTTTCACGACATGAAGGAGATAGAAATAACAAACTCTGAAAAGGAAGGGAAAAAAAAAACCACTTCAGGCTAGTGCTTGAAGCTAAGGTGGTAAGATGCTTTGAATGACTAAAATTAAGGAAGCCGAAAACATCCTTAGCCAGGAATTTATGTCCTAAGTTGCTTTAGTTGTGTCTGACTCTTTGTGATGCTATGGACTGTAGCCCACCAGGCTCCTCTGTCCATGGGACTCTCCAGGCAAGAATACAGAAGTGGGTTGCCATTTCCTTCTCCAGGGTACAGCGTGTCTTGTAGTGATTTGATACATGTATATACTGTGAAAGGATTCCCCTGCCTAGTTGAATAACACATCTATCATTTCATTTCTTTTTTCAGTATGAACATTTAAATCCTACACTCTTGTCACATTTCAATTATACAATACAGTCTTATCAACTATAGTCGTTATGTTTTACATTAGAATTTCAGACCTTATTCATCCTTTCATTTATTTTTTAATTGGAGGAAAACTGTTTCTGCTGTACAATGTGAATTAGCCATAATTATATATATTTAACTATATAATTAATTAAATACAATAATATCATTATATATGTGTGTATATATATATATATATATAAAATTGGTAAAGGGTACAAACTTTTACTTATGAGATGAATAAGGAACTGAGAAAGTAGCATTGACATTATCCTGGGTAAAACAGATAGCTAGAGGGAAGTTGCTATATATTAAAAACACAGGTAGCCCAGACTGGTGCTCTGTGGCCATATATTATAGTATAGTATATTAGCCCTCCATCCCCTCCCTCCCCTCCCCTCCCCTTGATCCCACCCCTCCAGGTGGTCACAGAGTGCCAGTCTGGGCTCCCTGTGTAATTAATATATAGCAGGTTCCCACTAGCTATCTGTTTCACACAGGATAGTGTATGTATGGCAATGCTACTTTCTCAATTCCATACTCATCTCCTAAGTAAAAGTTTATACCCTTCACCTATTAATTTTTTTTTACACGGTGGTCTATTTATGACATGAGTTGGATTACATAGGAAACCAGCATGACCACATATTCTAGATCATCTTTCTTGTAATAAGCTAAACTTACTGTAACAAATAATGTACCATTTTGCAAACCATATTTTATTAAAACAAAATCCAAGCAAGGAAAATTCTCTACATTAAATTTGATAGTTTTCATACATCACTTACCCTGTTTGACAGAAATAATGAGCTCATCTCTACTAATCTTCTAGATTTCGCATATGTGTTAATATACAATATTTGTTTTTTTCTTTCTGACTTTCTTCACTCTGTAGAGACTCTAGGTCCATCCACATCTCTATAAATGACCCAGTTTTGTTCCTGACATATGTACACTACCACGTGTAAAATAGATAGCTAGTGGGAACCTGCCATAAAGCACAGGAGGCTCAACTCAGGGCTCTGTGATGACCTAGATGGGTGGGATGGGGGTGGGGTGGGGGTGGAGGAAGGTCCAAGAGGGAGGGGACATATATGTAGGTATAGTGGATTCACTTCATCGTACAGCAGAAATGAAACATTGTAAAATGATTATATTTCAATTTAAAAAATTAATAGCGAAAACAAACAAACAAAAAATCATGAGCTCAATGAAAGTGAGTTCTATTGTTCCTTAATGCATCTATCTTTAATGTATGCTGGGCTTCCCTGGTGGCTCAGCTGGTAAAGAATCTGCCTGCCAATGCAGGAAGTATAAGAGATGTGGGTTTAATTCCTGGGTCAGTAAGATTCCCTGGAGAAGGAAATGGCAACCCACTCCAGTATCCTTGTCTGGAAAATTCCATGGACAGAGGAGCCTGGCTGGCTACAGTCCATGTGTTCGCAGAGTCGGACATGACTGAACACACATGCCTAATGTGTGCTGATAAATAATGTATTAGTATTATCTAATCAGCTTGCTATGACATAGACATTACGTACATTATGTACTCTGTCATGACTTTTAATTTCATAACATCTCAGAAAAAGGTATTAAGCATTTCACAGATACTTGTTTTTTGTTTTTTATTGTTAATTTCTACAGGCTTATTATTAAACATGTGACCATTTGTCACATATCGCTAATACAATATTTTCCTCATTTTTTCATGTGTCTGTTTTTCATGGTATAATCTATCATTCCTTTTCCTTTTTGTTTTATACGTAGAAAGCTTTCCCACACCAGGATCCCATGATCCTTCCTAAGGCATGAGGCAGTTGGTCCAATATCCATGCTCTCCCAAATAAGCTGATGGTAAGCACTGCAGTGGAGCTTCCCAGGTGACACTAGTGGTAAAGAATACTCCCAACGTGGGTTCAATCCCTGGGTTGGGAAGATCCCCTGGAGGAGGGCATGGTAACCCACTCCAGTATTCTTGTCTTAAGAATTCCATGGACAGAGGAGCCTGGCGGGCTACACTCAAAGAGTCAGACATGACTGAAGCAACTCAGCAGGCAGGCACTGAAGCATGAGCTCGGCCCCTCAGAGTAGAGAACACCCCAAAGTTCTTCCTGTCTTCACGGGCATGCCAATGGTTTACACTTGTTCTTCCAGGCAGGAAGAAGCTTAGCTATGGCATAACCTGGTCTGTCTTGAGTAGCCTCCCATGGTTTTTGCACAGACTCCCAAGGAATATTTTATAGTGATCTTGTCTCTTGTTTCCTCAGTGAAATGAAGCTAACAAACCTTCTAAGTATTTTTAACATGCATTACTTCACTTAATGTTCCCAAAAAGCATACTAGGAAAGTACAATTACTACCTTCATTCTATAGGTGAGGGACCTGAGGTACAGAGTGGTTAAGCAATTTGCCTGGTTTCACCGTAGCCTGGAAGCATCAGAGCCAGACCACACCCAGGATGTCTAATTCCTGAGTCAGTGTTTCTAATCACTATGTCCTACAATCCTCCATGGAAGGTACAGACTTAGCTATTGCATCAATAGCTAAGTCTGTTTCCCATCGCTACTATGGGAAAGCTTGAGCTCTTCAGTATTGGGTGCACCAGGCCCAGGAGGTGAAGACCCCTACATAGGTCCTGCTCCCTCCTCACTGAGCCCAGCAGTAGGTAGGACTTCTAAAGTTAGGATGACAGTAAAGATGGGGCTGTCAGAGGAGCACAAGGCCCTAAGTGAATGCTTTATCAAGCATGCTCATAGATGCCACTCATGGAGGGAATCAGAGGGTCACCTTCCTCACTCCCAGGTGGTGTGATGACTCCGGGTATGAAACAACAGCTGCAGATTACGTGATGGAAGCTTCCTGGGGGTCAGCCCTCAGCTAGCTCCTGACTGCAACTATGTCACTCACTGGCTCCTCACTGAACCTATGTGGGAGGGTAAGTGTCCTCACTTTACAGACAAGGAAACCAAGGCCTGAGAGGTCCCCTACACTGGTGGCAGCAGAATCGGTGTAGCTGAGGCTGGGCCTACTGATGCCAAGCTGAGGGGAACTTGCCCTGAGGGCAGAACACTGGTGATAGCTTAACTGCCCTGAGCCTCTGTTTCTTCACAATCCAGAGCCTTTCGGCACATATGACTGCGGGGATTAAGTAAGAAATACACGTGGGAAGGTACTCAGTAAACAGCTAGCTTTCAAATTAACAGAGTAGCCACTGGGCAAGACCTGCTTATAAAGGTTAATTAAAAACAGACCTTGGAAGAGTGGCCCAGGCCTTTCCCCCAGCTTACATGTGGCAGAGCAGCCTTGACAGAGCTCCTGACCTCTGTGTGAGTGTGTGTGTGTGTGTGTCTGTGTGTGTGTGTGTGTGTGTGTAGGGGGGGGTGTCCTAGGAGTGTTCTCCTGCAGGTGTGCTGGTCTCAGAGGAAGAAAGAACCACTAGGGTTCCGCAGAACAAAATTCTTCCTGTTATGCTGCTCTTGAGAAAAAGCCTCAGTCTAAAGGCAGAGGTAGATGCTGCTGAAGGAGAGAAGAATCCAGTGTTGCCTTCTCCCCTCTGTTTAAATACATGTAACATATTAACAGTAACTTCAGGCAATATCACAACTCTATCCTGAAGCTCCCTGTCCCAGCTGTAAAATGGAGCAGATGGTATCTTACCTGTAAACATTTTACCAAGAGTAGTGGCCGGCCTGCCTCCCCACTCTCTAAGCTGCCAGCATGTGGTGGCCTTGTCCTCCCCCGCTTTCCTCCCCAGGACCCCTGCTACAATAAGTTGGGCTCTCCTTAGAGATCTCTGCTGGCTACACATTGGACTAGCTAGTCTTCCATGTCCCTATGATTCTTTGGTCTTACTCCTCATTGAGGAAGCTGATTTAGACCTGGGGACAGAAAAAGCCTGAAATATAGACCTAGCTTTACCCTTGGAAGTTGAAGTTAGAATTCTATGTGTGTTAGGTAAAGTGCACCATCACACCTACATATATTCTCCCAGCATAGGAAGTACTGTCTCATCAACTTACCTTCAACAGCATCTGGTACTTTACAAGTCTCTGACTTGGTTCTCTCAGACACGTAAAAAGAGGGAGATTGTGACCCAGTTGACGCTGGCATACCTTGAAAAGCCAAACAGAAATAGCACTAAACAAAATAACACACACAGAGAGAGAACAGAAGCAGGAGCATTTAAATACGATAGAGGAAAGGGGCAGGCTGGGCTAGTGTTTTTAAAGGCAAGTAGGGATGCCAGGCTGTTTATTTCTTTTTTTTCTTGCTTGTTCTTTTATGTTGTTTTGTTTTCTCAAGAACTCACTTTATTTTTTTGTTTGTTTGTTTTAGGATTTTTTATTGGAGTATAATTGCTTTACAATGTTATATTAGTTTCTGCTATACAGTGAAGTCAGTCCATTATAGGTATACATATATGCCTATTTATTTCTTTTAGAAAGTAAGTCCATAAGGAGGGAGACAATGGGGCAGCCTTCTGGAAAGGAGGCAGCCTGTCTTCAGGTTGGGGCTTGGGGTGTGGGAATCTATTTAAGGGTACATGATAGGTTTATTGACATCATTCCAGGGATCCTCCAAGTGTGACTTAATTCCATTTTTAAAACCTATCCTAAAACAAACAAACAACAACAACAAAAAAAACCTGTCCTATAAGGAAGCTATGGTACATATACACTATGGAATATTACTCAGCCATTAAAAAGAATTCATCTGAATCAGTTCTAATGAGATGGATGAAACTGGAGTCCATTATACAGAGTGAAGTAAGCCAGAAAGATAAAGACCAATAGAGTATACTAATGCATATATATGGAATTTAAAAAGATGGTAACAATAACCCTATATGCAAAACAGAAAAAAGAGACACAGATGTCCAGAACAGACTTTTAGACTCTGTGGGAGAAGGCGAGGGTGGAATGTTCAGAGAGAACAGCACTGAAACAACTATACTATCAAGGGTGAAACAGATCACCAGCCCAGGTTGGATGTATGAGACAGGCACTGGGTGCCTGTCTCACTGGTGCACTGGGAAGACCCAGAGGGATGGGATGGAGAGGGAGGCAGGAGGGGGGATCGGGATGGGGAACACATGTAAATAAATCCATGGCTGATTTATGTCAATGTATGGCAAAAACCACTACAATATTGTAAAGTAATTAGCCTCCAATGAATAAAAATAAATGGAAAAAATAAAAATAAATAAACAAATTAAAAAAAAAAAAACCTATCCTAGAAGAGCGCTCCATTTTCTCACCAGGCTACTGCTGTTCCTTACAGGTTGTCCCATAGAGACTCAGGGCAGCATTGAAACTCCCAGTGTGTAATTTCAAAATAGGAAAGACTTTAATAAACATAAATCCCAATGCCAAATTCCTCTTCCTAGTTCATACTTTTAGATTTCTTTAAAAATTGGATGCCTATGAACACTGTCCTGGGAAAAGAATTTGTGGGAGACTTTAGAAATGCAGTGTTACCCCAAAGTAGGTGCAGTCTTGACATTCTTGCCAGATTGCCCTGGCTCGGGGCAGGTTCTTATGGTATTTTAAATATATTTGAAGATCTTCTTTCTGGGTGAGAAAAAGTTAGAACAAGTTAACTAGTTAACATTTTTCAATAAAAGGATATATTGATACAGTTTATTCATTCCCTCAATAGGCCTGAGTATTTTCATTGTGTAAGGAACTGGGGATGCACAACAAATAACCTTATGTTGGAGTGAGTGTGTGACAAGGAGGTAAACAGAGGGCTATAAACAACACAGATATGAATGGGGTACTGTGAGAGAAGCTCTAGGACTCCGGCCAATAAATAACTAAATTCATGAACAGGAGTTGGATTTTCTCTTTATCCTTTCTCCTCTTCTCTTCATCTGGGATACCCAGATGCAAAACCAAATGGTTTTGCAGTGAGTAATAAAATGGACAAAAATGTGCTGGTGGCTGATGGCCCCTCCTTTCTCTCTCCCCATGCGTGCGTGCTAAGTCACTTCTGTCATGTCCAACTCCTTGCAATCCTATGGACTATAGCCCACCAGGCTCCTCTGTCCCCCATGTTATTCTCCAGGAAAGAATACTGGAGTAGGTTGCCATGCCCTACTCCAGGGGATCTTCCTGACCCAGGGATTGAACCCATGTCTTCTATGTCTTCTGCATTGGCAAGCATGTTCTTTACCACTAGCACCAACTTTACAGTCATCATGATGCCAACCCTGCAAATAAACCTAAGAAATAACTAAAAGATAGAAACATCCCAGAGGGAAATATGGCAGTGGAAGTTTGAACACAAACTAAGTGGTCTGGGCAATCCCTGCCTCAGACATCACCTTCAACATGCAGCACAAGACTTCCAAGACATGAAAAGCTACACCACTATCTCATAGCTAGAGATCAAGAGGGATTCCAAGTGCTGTGTGAACTATATTCTCATTGTATCAAAAGCCATGAGAGGTGGGCACACATTTGCCAATATCCCAGGTAGAGAGAATACCCAAGCCTGCAGTCAGTTTGCCAGATTCACCCTCTCCATCAGGAGAACCCAGTCCACAGCAGCTGTGCTTGCCACAGAGCCTGGACTGCTCCGGCAGAGATGACCACGTGACCACTTCCTTGTTGATTTCTGTGTTCTCTTGGTGGATGCTGAGCTGATACCTGTGCTCCTGAAGCCTTCACTTCTTGCTTCCGTGACTGTACTTTGAGCATCACAGAACATTACATGCCTTCCAGCACTGAAACACACTGCTGACCTAAATTTGCTCTTCAGTCCAAAATTTTTTAGAGAAAACATGGGCACTAAAAAGCAGCATACAAAAGTGCCTGATCCCCTTACTTCCTTATAGAATAAATCAGGAGGCTAAAAAATTGCTACCCCAAAACTCATATTCATACAGGGAGATGCTATTGCTTAGGAATTGGGAAGACTGTTGCTCAGGTTCAGTTCTTGACTTTGTTAGTTACAAACAAAGGTATTTGGTTATTTGGTCTGAGGTCAATTACTTAACCTTCCTTCACTTCAGTTTCTCATCTGTTAAGTGGGCTCAAAACTGCAGTCAACTCCTATGAGTGCTGTGAGATTAAATGAGGTGTATAGAACCCTCTCAACAAATGCCCAATACATTCAGAGTACTCAACAAATGGTAGCTATTGTTAAAGTACTTTTGACTTTGTAGAGCCATTCTGTGTGCAGTATTTGATTTCATTTCCATGACAACTTTACATATTGGTATTACCAAGCTTGTTGCAAGGAGGAGGAAAGTTGAGGTCATGCTGATAGCAAGTGGCTCAACTTAGATGAGAAGTTAAGTTTTCCAAGTGACTTCCCTGGTGGCTCAGGCAGTAAAGAATCCACCTGCAATGTGGGAGACCTGGGTTTGATCCCTGGGTCAGGAGGATCCCCTGAAGAAGGAAATGGCAAACCACTCCAGTATTCTTGCCTGGAAAATCCCATGGACAGAGGAGCCTGGAGGGCTACAGTCCATGGGGTTGCAAAGAGTTGGACACAATTGAGCAACTAACACTAAGTTTTATGAGTCCCACCCCAGTGCTTTTTCATTTGTACCACATGAGATCTCAGAGCAAATAAAACTCAAAGTAAACGCTGTCCTAAATAGAGCTTGGTCTCTGGGGCAAAATCTTCCTGGATACTACAGGCTATCCAATCTGATTAAAACACTTGACTAGAGCAATATTTCAAAGCTTACATCCATGATTAGTGGAGGTCTCAAGTATTATGAGAAGAGTTAAACTGCTGTAGTAAATAGTAGGTGATGCGCCTGCCTTTTTGACTAACAAATACAGGTCTTTGCACAGCAGTGATAATTCCCTCAAGGATTCTCAAACATTAAGTAATTGTAGTTTTTAATTACTTCATTTGTCCCAGAGTAATAGCTTTGTACTTGATAAGAATTTACTATCGGTATTTTGTCTCCAATATCATAAATCATATAGAATTATATGCAGGTTTGTGGTCTGGATATGAAAAGCTTTGTAAAACTTTAGGAGAGAAATTCTTCTAAGAAAAGATGTTCAGTTAACAATTTCCCAACCATTTCCTAAAATTTGGACAATTTTTATTTGATAATATCCATTTGTTTCCCACAGGAATTTGGTCCTTTTCTCATTCAACAATTTCAATAAATCTTTGCAATAATGATATAAGCAATTATGAAATAATACTAAATTTTGAAACTAGATTTCATATTAGTGGTTTGATGAGTGTAAAGTTGTAAAATGGTATAAAACACTATAGCAATGTTATAAAAGTAATTCAGAAAGGAAATTAATTAGATTGAATAAAAAATAGTTTTTAAATTTTATTTATTTTTAATGGGAGGATAATTGCTTTATAATATCATATTGGTTTTTGCCATATATCATGAATCAGGCATAGATATACTTATGTCCCCTGCCTCTTGAACCTCCCTCCCACATCTCACCCCATCCCACCCATCTAGGTTGTCACAGAGCACCAGGTTTGAGCTCCCTGAGTCATATGGCAAATTTGCACTGGCTATCTAATGTTGCGTATGATAATATATATGTTTCAGTGCTACTCTTAGTTCATCCCAACCTCTCCTTTCCCACCTGAGTCCACAAGTCTGTTCTCTATGTCTGTGTCTCTATTGCTTCCCTGCAGATATGTTCATCAGTATCATCTCTCTAGATTCCACATATATGCGTTAACATATGATATTTGTCTTTCTCTTTCTGACTTACTTCACTCTGTATAATAGGCTCTAGGTCCATCTACCTTATTAGAACTGTGTCAAATGCATTCCTTTTTTAAGGCTGAGTAATATTCCATTGTGTATATGTACCAAAATTTCTTTATCCATTCATCTGTCAATGGACATCTAGTTTGCTTCCATGTCTTAGCTATCATAAATAGTGCTGCAATGAACATTGGGGAACATGTGTCTTTTTAAATTATGGTTTCCTCAGGGTATATGCCCAGTAGTGGGATTGTTGGGTCATATGGTAGTTTCATTACTAGTTTTTAAAGGAATCTCCACACTGTTCTCAAAGTGGCTGGATCAGTTTGTATTCCCACTAAGAATGCAAGAAGTTTCCCTTTTCCCCACACCCTCTCAAGCATTTAGTGTTTGTAGATTTTTTGATGATGGCCATTCTGACAAGTGTGAGGTGATACTTCATTATAGTTTTGATTTGCATTTCTCTAATAATGAGCAAGGTTGAGCATCTTTTCATGTTTTTTTTAGCCATTGGTATGTCTTCTTTGGAAAATATTTGTTCAGGTCTTCTGCCCACTTTTGATTGTGTTGTTTATTTTTCTGGATGTCAGTTGTTTCATTTGCTATTATTTTCTCCCATTCTGAGGATTATCTTTTCACTTAGTTTATAGTTTCCTTTGCTGTGCAAAATTTTTTAAATAGGTCCCATTTGTTTATTTTTGTTTTTATTTTCATTACTCTAGGAGGTGGGTCATGGAGGATCTTACTGTGATTTAAGTCAGAATATTCTGCCTATGTTTACCTCTAAACATGTTTAACTCTAAACCTTTTATTCTGGTCTTATACCTAGGTCTTTAATCCACTTTGAGTTTATTTTTGTGTATGGTGTTAGGGAGCATTCTGATTTCATTCTTTAACACACAGCTGTCCAGTTTCCCCAGAACCACTTACTGATGAGACTGTCTTTTCTCCATTGTATATTCTTGCCTCCTTTGTAAAAAAAATTAAGTGCCCATAGGTGCATGGATTTATCTCTGGGCTTTCTATTATGTTCCATTGGTCTACACTTCCTGTTTTTGTGCTAGTACCATACTGCCTTGATGACTGTAGCTTTGTGGTGTCGTCTGAAGTCAGGCAGGTTGATTCCTCCAGTGCCATTCTTTCTCAAGATTGCCTTGGCTATTCAGGGTCTCTTGTGTTTTCTTACAAATTGTGAAATTGTTTGTTCTAGTTCTGCAAAAAATACCATTGGTAATTTGATAGGGATTGCACTGAATCTAGTGCAATTTTTTGCATGACCCAATTTTATACTACCCAAAAGATTGCTTTGGGCAGTATAGTCATTTCCACAATATTGATTCTTCCAGTTCAGGAACATAGTATATCTATCCATTTGTGTTGTCTTTTATTTCTTTCATCAGTGTCTTATAGTTTAATGCATACAGGTCTTTTCTCTCTTTAGGTAGGTTTATTCCTAAGTATTTTATTCTTTTTGTTGCAGTGGTGAATGGGATTATTTCCTTAATTTCTCTTTTTGATTTTTCATTGTTAGTATATAAGAATGCAAGGAATTTCTGTGTGTTAATTTTATATCCTCCAACTTTGCTATATTCACTGATTAGCTCTAGTAATTTTCTGGTGGCATCGTTAGGGTTTTCTATGTAGAGAACCGTGTCATCTGCAAACAGTGAGAATTTTACTTCTTTTTTTCCAATCTGGATTCTTTTTATTTCTTTTCTTCTTTGACTGCTGTAGCTAGGACTTCCAAACTATGTTGAATAATAGTGGCAAGAGTGGGCACCCTTGTCTTTTTCCCGATCTTAGAGGAAATGCTTTCAGTTTTTCATCATTGAGAATAATGTTTGCTGTGGGTTTGTCATA